CATACATTATCTTATAAACGGCTAAAATTGTAACGCAATTGCCAACAGCATAATGTCACGTATTAATCGTGTTCAACGTCTGGGTTGCCTGTGACTCGACGCGAGGTCACGTGAGCATCAAGATGGCGACTTGTCAGCGGAAATGAATATTTGTCACATGATTGTCACAGGTTGTGATAGTAATCGCGCAGAGTTGGCGAACTAGGATTTCTCCACGATCATCCTGCACACGGTGGAGTTACGGTGAGTGCGAAACGCGCGTTAATATTGACATTTCAATGATTTAATATTCGATGCCGTCAGTGTTTGCAAGCTCGCGATCAGCTGTTTTTTAATAGATCATCCTCGACCTCCATGTAAATAATACCTTTTGTTCCAGGCAGGGTCTAGGACTGCAGATCAGATCAGTGAGGTTCGGCTACGGATAGTATGAAAACTACTACGATGTTTGTGCTGCTGTTGGCGGTGTTTTCTTCTTTTCAACTGATTACAGCAGGTGAAAGCAAGAATGCTAGCCAGCCTCATATCATATTTATCCTTGCCGATGATTTGGTAAGCAGTCCAACAGCAAGCTTTTGTCTTGCAGCTTTAGTTAATTATTAACTACATCTGATTGAATTAAGTGATGGTTATATCATAATAAATAGTTTCAGTGGCGGATCCAGACCTTGAGCTAAGGGGGCGGGAGGAGGGAGGAGGAGGTGGGGGCTGCTTGCCCTGCTGGGCTTTCTTCCTTCTACGATTTTTTTTTTTTTGCCCAAAATAAGTGGGGGCCGGGCACCCCGGGCCCCTCTCCTAGACCTGCCACTATTTTATTAAAGTATTATGTTCGGTTGTGATCAAATACAACAGAAAAGCCTTTAATTAGAAGGGATCAACTTTTTTCTTTGTGTTCTTGGTTTTTACCACTGTGTGAGTGCTCTGGTTTGTGGGTGCGTTATCATAATTTATGCCAGTTTATTCACATGAACCTCAGCCCCTGGTATAGATACACTCATTCTTTAAATCTTTTACATTTTTCTTTTGTTGAACTTCATGCATTGAGGACTGTAAAGAGCTATTATGCATGCCTGAATAAATATTAGAGACAATGTCTTGACCTCCAGTTTCCTTTATTTGTCATGACTCTTAGGGCTGGGATGACGTGAGTTTTCATGG